CATGTGCTCCAGATTACACACACTGCAGTTCTCCAGACCAGCTGAGTATTTCAGAATAGCTGTATGAATTTCTACAGCATTAAGTGCCAATTTATATGACTTATCAGAGTCATAGTGGCCCTTCAAAATCATCTGAAATGTTTTGCACATATTGGCTAGCTGCTTGTGGCCTATAAGCTTTTACAACCAGCAAGATTCTCTCTCACACATACATATTTTTATAGTGATTGCCAAACGCTGGATCCTGTGTATGTGATTCTGGTTGTGCACAGCTCACAAAAGCTTTTCAAGTGGTGAGTGCTCAGGTGGTTACATGATTCAGCCCTAACTCTACCAGCCATGTTTTGAGGTCACCAGTTTATTTCAGTTCAGCCAAACATGTCTTAGCAAAGGGCTTGGTAAGGCTACAAACCTCCAGGTACTCGCTCTTGAGCAAGTGTGCAAGAGGGCTGCAACAGGTTTTCTTTTTAAAATGAACTTTTAAAGAAATGTGGAATATTAAGACACAGTTCAGTTGAAGTTATTAATTGAACCTAGAAAAAATGTAATCACGTGATTAGGTTTTTCAGTGTAATCAATGGGATGCCAAAAAAAAAAAGGTTAACCTTTGCAGGGCTGTGCCCTATTCATTCTAAATTGTAGGAAACCGTGGTTACTTTCCATATTGACTGCTGTGGTTCAGTTTATGAACCCAAAGTATTAGGCAAAAAGGATTACCTACTTTGTTCCATGAAAAGAGTAATACTTGGGCAACGCAATAGAAAATATATGAAGATGCAAAGCTGCCTTATACTGAGTCAGATCATTGGTCCATCTAGCTTTCTGTTGCCTGCTCTAGCTTGCCTGCTCTGGCAGGCTCCCCTGTCTGTCAAGGATGCAGCAAGGGGCTTCCTGTATTCAAAGCATACGAAATAACCCATCCCAAAAGGCTCGGACATGTAGGGCATGTCTCCCATTTGCAGGAGAAAATGGGAAGAACTTGTATATTTGGGCTTCTGTATCTAAATTACATATCCTATTAGTCTTTTGACTACTATAGCAGTTGTACATATGTTTAATCAAATGTAAAGTAGTACATACTTTACTCTAGAAATCTTCAGTTTCCCTCTACAGAAGGCTTACAGAAGGTTTTCAGCTGATATTCTCGTTTGATCCTTATTTTACTTTGTATGTTGCCTTGGGTGCTATTTTAGAAGAGTTCATGATTAGCAAGTTTTTAAAATACTAATAAAATGTTGCAGAAATAAAATCTGTGCACCAACATTCAGTATATGGATTTGGACTGGGTTACAAAAACAAAGTTAACAGGAAGGTAAACATAACACAATATAAAATTATCCTGATATAAACTGGTTTCTTCAAGACAGTACTGGTTGATTTTGTTTCATTTTACCTACCATTCTGTTTCAAACTACTTTGTTTGTAAAAGGCTAATTTCTAACTCATGTTTATGAAATTTATTTTTGCCAAGAGCAACAGGTGGATCTCCAAAACACAGCTCAGACAAGAAATGAATGCCAGAATGTAGCAGTTGCCCACTGAATCATCTGGCAAATGGTTCCACCAGCACTGAAATAAGCCAGGTAAACTTGTGGAAGGTTCACAGTCAGCTTTTCAAGACAGAAGGGAACCAATGAAGACCTCTTTAAGGACACAACATCTTGAAACATCACTCTTTGGAATTAAAGAGACTTCACACATGCCCTATTATTTCATAGGAACATTTAAAGAGGTTTTCAGCAGATTGTGCTTATCTAACTAATAAAGGGATGGGGCAGACAGAATATTTAAAAATCTATTTTCCATTCCAATTGATGGCAATTTGTGCTTCATGTTGGCTGCCCAAGGACTCATAGTCGTCTTTCAGCAGCAAAGAACTGGCAACACTATTTGCCCCATGGAAGAGAAAGTTCATCAAAATGATTCTAGGCAACAATCCAGCCACCATTAAGCACACTGTTATAACTGGTTATTTCTGTGGAAACCGTTTAAGCATGATTTTAAACTGTTCCATTGAAATCAATGGGAAGTACTTAACTGTGGCTGGATCATGCCCAAAGTTTTGTTTATATATGCATGCTGCAATCTGAAACATTTTTAACTTTTGAGTAAGGCCCATTGAACTCCATGAGGCTTGCTTCTGCGTAGACACACATAGGATTGCACTTAAATATTTTAAAACGCACGTTAAGGTTTATGTCATTTTAGTTTCCATTTTAAAAACTTCCCCACCCACCCGACAGGATGAAAACGGCACATCTACAAAACACAGCTTTTAACTCAAGATTTACCTGAGACCCTGTAATGTGAAGACAGGCAAAAGGAAAGATATGATATAAACAGTCCCCTGAAAGAAAGTACAATTAGATTGGCTACTACAAACACTAGGAAGGGGGAAAGAAACAGGCAAAACTACTCTAAAACTCACCATCTCTACACTGGTTGCTAAGATATTTTATAGGGACATATAACAGCACTAGTACACACTACAGGAACACCAATCACTTTTAAAAACCTCATATATGCATGTATAGGATACAAGAGGATACGAAAGGTTACAGTTTTGCCAATTATTTAAGACATATTTTTCTCCCTCATGTATAGTGCATATACAATACAAACAAGGGTTATTTCTATGGCATTTGTTGAATGTATTCTTACAAGCTCTATTTTCAATCTAGTTGTTAGGTTTAAAACTACTTTAAGATTAATACTTATACATCACTGCACATGTTGCAGCGTAATGCTATGGGGTGTACTGTGTGCAGTAACACACTTATGGGTGGCATGTCCAAGAAACACAATTCTCGCTCTTTCTCGTTTTAGACTGTCCCTATACCACTGCAACTTGTGGTGGTGGTTAATGGCATATGAGTTTGGAATAACTGTGGATTGGGAGGAGGGGTATAAAAGCAAAGTATGTACACCTCAAGGTGGTTGTTTTGAGGAAGAATTTGTCTTTGAAAAGTTATGCGTTGTATATAGTAATAATTATTTTACAATTAATAATAGCAACAATTTTATAGACTAAATTCAGGGTTCAGGTACTTCACTCACCCTGCTGGCTGAAAGAGAAGAATACATCGAAAGGCTGTATAAAGAACTTTGTAAGAAAATAGCAGGGGCAAAAGACACAGATGATCTACAGAGCTAAACGCTAACAACTGTTTTCTATGTAGAAGCTACGATATACATACTATTGTAAGAATATAAAATTAGGCACAAATTATATGATGGCTTCTTGAGAAGGAGAGAGTGTGAACGGAAGAGTGGAAAGCAAGGAAAACATGTTTGAGACAAACCTAAAATGAGGACTTGCGTTTTCTTCCCTCTCTTCAGTTTGCCAAAATGATTAAGATATTTCAAAATACTGAGAACTGAGGCATTTTGATGAAACAGAAATAAAAGCCTAGTAGAGTATTAATTGAAATGCATGAAATTAAGACAGGGGTGCCCATCTGCCTCAGCCTGGCACTCTCTTGCATCAGATTTCAAAACAGAGATACAGCTTTGTCTCCCACAGTATTCAACATCATGCTCTTATTTTATTTTTCTCCACACACACACACACACACACACACCTTTAAAAGAGCCTGAAAGGCTCATTAATCTCTCTCCACACCAATGCCAAATATCATATTATATTAGTGCACTATATTGAAAGGCTGTCTCCTTGTATGCGTTACAAAGCAGCTCTGCTAGTGCCAATGTACCTAGCAGCCACTGAATGGAAGACATGTTGGCAGAATCAGTGGGCCGTATTCAGCTCCTATGGTGTAAATGCTGGAAGATTCAATTCAAACTCGGGGGAGTCTTTCCACTTTCGTATCTGGCATCACTGAGGTAGGAATCTAGTCCCATATGTTGCATACTAACTCTCAGCTGCATCCTGCAATTTTAAATTGTTTCATACAACCAATTCCAGCTTGTGTGTGAAGAAGAATAACTGCAGGATGAGAGAAAAGAGGGCCATAATTTAGAGAGCACATGTTTTTGTGTATGATATTCCAGATACAAACCTCAGAATGCTCATGAAAAGAGATCTCAGGTTGAGAAAGACTTTGGCCCAACTGGGTCTAAGATAGCAAGTTTCAGGGCTGCCCGCATGTTAGGTTTGGTAAGGAAAAGGATCAATAGGCCACTAGGCCTGACTCTTGTCCTAGCTATATATCCAGTTATGGCCACACATTCCATTAAGATATTAGGGTGGTTGTAGGCTGGGGCAAATAGATATGAAAACAATTTGCCAAAATGGCAGCCCAACCACTTAGTTGTAGTATTCCAATAATTTTACATATTAAGACACTTGGTCCAGAGATGATTCCCAGACCTAATTTAATGTCCTTTAAAATCAATAACCACAGAGCAGGAAAACAAATTGTTGTGACTCTGCCACACTCAGGCAAACCTAGTAAATTTTCCCCGCCATTTTAGCCCCTATATTTACTGGGTTTTGCAAGTCATGAAAGTAGGCTATGGTTACTTCTGTATTAGATGGTTGTTTTGGTAACACATTCACCTTTTTGTAGTGTGAAAACCAACAGTAAGATGGCAACCATGGATGTATCTGCCTAGCACAACATATAGTTGCCAACCCACTTGTCTGTCAGCAAAACTAAACCACAGGCAGTGCTCACGGTGTTCCCAGATGGTGCCAGCAACCTGTATCCCACTCATATGACTGCAACAGAACAAAAACTATTTGTATGAAAGAGTAGGATTGGCCCAGCGCTCACGGAAGCAATTTCCCAAAGCAACTGACTGATTGTCAACTGTTTCACAATGAATGTATTTCTTCCTGGGCACCACTGTGTGTAAAAACCCAACCCAGTACTTAAAGTGGTCTATCTAGTTCTTTACTACAAGCATGCAACGGTATATCTTACTTTCTAAGCAACCACTTTCAGGCACTGTGAGGAGGAAAGGGGACAATGAGAAAGAAAGAAAGAAAGAAAGAAAGAAAGAAAGAAAGAAAGAAGAAGGAAGAAGGAAGAAGAAAGAAAGAAGGAAGGAATGGGCTGTACAACATAGCCACAAGTGGGGGAATTACTAGCACTGGGTCTCCAGTTCAAAATCTTTCGGTGGCAGTTTAAGTCCAAGGGAAGACGTTCCCAGTGGGTCTATCATATTCTGGTATCGTTCACCACGGTGTTTAGCCAAAAATGGTCCCCAATCTGGCTGTGGAGAGCAGACCAACTTGAGCCTCTAGAATTTGCAGGAGGGAGGGAGGAGAATTAAAAAAGTTACAGAAAGCAGATCAGGATCAGGTGAAATTAATGATATGTTAATTACACTGCACAGTAATATCACAATACCCTGCCATTCAGTGTTTGTTTTCCACAAGGCTAGTAGAAAAAAAGCATTCAGGTTTTAATTATCCGGCCTTCTGCATCTTCTTTCTCTCCTGTGTCCCCAAAATCAGGCACATGAAAACAATTCACAATCACAGACACCCTTCACCAAATTCACACACCAAAGGACATGTGCTCAACTATGTAGCCCAATCATCTAAGCAGTAGGTTGCTGCATGAAAATAATTGGATTTTTGTTTAGCAAATTTCCCCAAAGTATACAGATGACCAAAAAGTAATATAGTGCCAGGACTATGCAAATATTTTAATTATCAGATCACAAATTATTTTAGTACTATGTGTGGAGGGGAAACAATGAGTTAATTCTGCAGAGATGCAGACAATTAAAAACTGAAGTCATTGTTAAAGATAAATAATTTGATTGGTGAATTTTATATAGAAAAAAGCAAAGAAAACATATTTATGATGGTTTGAAAGGGAACAATTATATGTTTATTGCCTATTAAAGGGAATCAAGCCTCCATATCAGTTATTTTAATTTCTGCTTAATTACCAGCTTGCAACCTTTGCCTCCCAAATTGACTGTAATGAACTGGGTAACTCCAGATACTGTGCTGAAAATGAAATAACTGCTTCAGCGAAATAATTTCCTTTCAGACAAGATGCAATGTTTTGGCACTACTTTGGGTAATATCATTTAAAAGAAGAAGTGATGGCAGGTTTTTTGAATACGCAAGCCAGTCCTCTTAAGGTTAGAATTCGATGAACAAAGTTACTGACTTGAGAAAGAAGGGGTGGCAGCCTGAAAAAATCAATAGGTTTTAGTATAGGTATTAACTCACTTTACAGGTAGTTCAGAAGAATAAAAACAAAACAAAAAACTATTCTTTTTATTGCTTTGCTGTGTCACTACTTGATAACTCAGAAGCTATGTTTGTTATATGCTTATTTTGAAAGAAAAAAAATGATAATTCCCAGAAACCGGGCCTTGTCCCCTAAATAAAATTTGCAATTTTATTTATTTATTTATTTGGGTTTTTATTTATTTATTTATTTTATTAAATAAAATTTGCAATTTTATTTATTAGTGCAATCATTACTTGCAATTTTATGTATTATTGAACACATAGTACTTTCGAGTATTCAAAGCAGTTTACATACAACATTTCAACAACAGTTCAGACTGTGGAGTGTCTTGCCTCATCCACTAGGCCTAAAATCTTTCAACTTGACTCCATTTTGTCAATAGAACAGGCCCTTAAATATTGTTGTGAGTTGGGCGGTTAGGCTATATGCCTAAACCCTTTCCAATTCCTGGGTCCAGCCAAGATTCAATTGTTGGAATAGCCAGGCCAGCTGCTTGGTGAGCTCATGCCCCTCTAAGTATGGGCTGTTAGGGTAAAAAAGGAAGTGGCTTTGTGCCAGAGGACAAACAGCTGTGCCCCTACCTCACCTGGCTGTAAGAAAAAAAGGACATGGACCTGAGTTGAAGTGGGTGTTCATGTGTGTGAGGGGGCTAGAAGCAGGCAGAAACTGGAGAGACAGAGACATGCTTGGTTTGTATTTGAATCCAAGGCTGTGCCTATGGGAGAAGCAAGGCCTTCTGGGGTGTTAATGTTGTGACCCTCTCCATCGTAGGCTCACGTTGTCTATATGTGTAAATAAACCAGATCTCATAAAGACATCATAATCTCCACTGTCCCTCATTCCATGGAAACCAAACCCTTGGGTAAGGGCCTGGAACTCCAGGAATCACACACCACTTGAAGATTCATGTGCAACAATATATTCTAAGTCAAAGTGGACCATCCCCACTCCATCAGTGCCGAATCATTATTATTTTAATGGGATGTGATTCTTTTCCTTTTCTAAGCACTGTTTTTGAAACTGGTGTAAACATGTGAGATGCCAACCTTATCCTATATCCTTAAAAATGGAAGAGAAGGTATAAGACTTACCTCAATAAATCTGCCAGGAGCTATGTGCATTTTTATCACAAACATAATGGGAATCCAGATAACAGAACAAGCTAGCATCAACCATCCGAGTACCATAGACCAGCCTGGGTAGTGGTAGCTGCCATAAGTCATGGGTTCCCACTGGTAGAAGCTGAAGCAAAGGATGAACTGGTAAACAAACCAAAAAAAACCATCAGCAAACACACTTGGATACAAACTGTACGAAATGTATGAGTACATTATACATACACACACAATTTGATTCATTTGAAACAGTATAAGTGCACATAAATGGCCCATATCATTATACTACAATAAATATACTTCTATAATCAGATCAGAGCCTCTGTTGTACCAGTGTAAACCTAGCATAATTCCACAGACATCAATGGAATCAAGTTATATTTACATGTGGGAATGAGACCAAAACTTTGTACCTACAGTAAAAAACTTTATTATGCAATCTATTGGCAGTGTAACTGAATGTAATTGTATTATTATTTCATTGCACTTACTGTATATAGAGCAATGCATCTGCTTCTGCTGGTGCATAATTCAGTAACATCTATGAACTGCCTACATTTACCATAATTTAACACAGAAGGTTTATAACACTGTTGCCATTAACGCATATATAAAAAAATGACAACTTGTGAGATGCAGATCCATTTAAAAGCAACCTTAACTATTCCTATACAGCAAATGTTAGTTACATCTAATATTAGTCTGAACAAAGACAAAGACAAGAAAGATGCAGGTTGGCTTTCTCCATGCATAAACTATATGCATGTTTATCAGTGTGAAAAACTTCCTCTATTATGAACAGAACTCTACACATGTTACTGTTCCATACTGTATCTTTCTTCCCTTAGGTAGGACAGTGACCTAGGGGTGATTCTGAGCAGAAAAGGGGTAGATTTTGGCTGGAAGAGAAAGATTTGGGCAGTGCCTTCTCCAACATTTCCTCAGCTTAAAGACACAGCCTCTCTTTGCTGCTTTGTTGTTGGCGGGCGGGGGGGGGGGATACATGCAGCTTCATGTCAACAAAAATGAATGAGGCACATTAGGGGATCGGGGATCTTTCCCTGCTGTTGGACAAGGGAGGAAGAGGCTATTTTGTTTCCTTTGTAATCCCCTCTACCCCCATATTGTTATTTCTTTTTCTGGTGTTGTTATTCACTTAAATTGATGCTATTAGTGCTGAGGACTGCAGGTGGTGAGCAGGCCAGGAGGTAAGGACAGGAAGGTAGGCAGTGGAGAAGGCAAGCTGTCTCTGCTGGTAGCCTCATTCACTTGCACCCACAAGTGGCAATGGTGGCAGGGAGGAGGAGGGGGGAGGAGGTCAGTGCCTAGCAGACAAGTGGCAGGCAGCAACTGAGTCAAATGGCAGACACCTCACAGGGCTAGATAGAGGGGGCAGCCCTTTGATGAAGCAAATCCAACCTGCTTGTAGTTTTCAGTTTGCTGCCAGTCTGGCTGCAATGCAACCTATCTCTGCCACCAGAACAGGACTCTGCACCTACTCAGGAATAGAAGAGGTTGGAGCAAGAAGCATTCATCAGCCAATTACAAAGGAGCAACTAGGACACCAACCACTCCTGGTATAATTCATAGCCATAGCTGTCAACTTTCCCCTTTTTTTAAGGGAAATTCCCTTATTCTGAATAGGATTCCTCGCAAGAAAATGGAAAAGTTGACAGCTATGTTCATGTTCATCTCTCTCTCTCTCTCTCTGTGTGTGTGTGTGTGTGTGTGTTTCCTACATCACACATAAATTCTGGATCATATGATGCACACACACAACTTGAACTGTGGTATAGCTAACATTGTGGAGAAATCTGTTCTTTGTGTAGGCCATTCGCTGCTTTCCAGAGAATGTAACCCAGTTGAAATATGGATTGTGATCTGAAAATCTGTGTGGCTGATATTGCTTAGTGGAAGCATATACAATAGCTGAGCCCCTTATATGAGCAGAACATTTTAAAAGGATCTGCACCCTTTTTTGTTTGTTTATCAGATTTCTGAGCCACGCATCAAAAGATTTCAGGCTGGTGTACTAAAGCATGAATGAAATTCAGCTATACAACATACAATTTAAAGCAAACAAATAAGCATAACAAAATACAAGAAGGCAAAATGAACAAAAACAAACAAACAAAGCTACAAACCAAATAGAACTCAATTGCAAAAACCACATATAATATAAAATGCCTGGGCAAGTGGGAAGGTCTTTTCCTAATGAAGTTTCATCCCTGAACTCTTAGGCTCCACCCCGTGGACCATAGCAAGGTACCAGAATTTTGTCTTTTTTCAGTAAGAGGTCAATGCAACATCAGATTTGGACCTTACACAGTCACATCTGATAGGACTAAAAGCAGGTTGACAGACCATGCTTCAGACAGCTGCACTTCTTTTCTGCATGTGTGATAGTAACGTTGCTTATTAGAGACGTGTTACAGATATATGTTACAGCTGAGAATAACATATTACAGTTGATGAGATTAGTAATGGGAACCATGAATGGTTTGATTCAGAATAAGCCAGTTTCCTAGGTTCCTAATCTTGAACCACAGTTCACCTGAATCACCTTGCTTAGGGAAGATACAGTGCCATGAGCAGCTAGCTTTTGCTTTATTCCCTCACAGGCCAATAACATGCCTGGACTTAGAGATGGGAAGAATCCCTGGCAGATGTGGATTTCTGCAGCTGGAATGTGCCAAAATTTCCAGAATTCGTCTGGTGATAATCACAGTGACCTTCACCACATCACGCTGAAGTACTAAACAATGGCATCCCTTGACCTTGCTGAGTTTTGCTGGGTAGTCTTCAACCCCACCTGCCTACCAATATATCATATATAATCTAAAATGACTGGGCAAGTGACGTGTGGTAACACAGGGTAGCCTAAAACTGAAATATATATAAACTTAGTTTTGTGGGGTATTATTCTACTCCAAGCCAGTCTTGGAGTGGTAAAATCTCTCAAAACAAAACTATGTGCGTTGTGTCATAAAAAAGGCCACTTACCTCTTCTCTCCTGGATTGGTTTATGTTTGACCCCACCCCCATTAGCTAGGACAAAAGAGCATCCCAATGATAAGGAGGAGAAGGAAATAGATTTTGTGGATATTTTTTGTCCGAAAGTTTTTCATTTATAGAACACAATCTGTAAATAGCAAACGGATGAACTCTGGGAGCAGTGCTTGCTGCTGTCCAGGTGGCAATAAATTTGGAGAACAATATTGATGCAATTCTGCAATCGACAATGACACCAATTTTTTAAAGTAAGTATTTACAGTAGTTTTAGTTAGTTTTAAAAAAATAAAAAACAGGCAAGATTTCCATGTTGTGATTTCGGAGTCCTGTGGCTGGAGTCTGGGTAATCAGGTCAACATGTCATCTATGTTTAGTGGGGAAAGTCTTTTTGTACCTCTAAATCATCTCTGCTTTTCCAAAAGGAAGTGAATAAAACTATGCAACAATGCTATACAAATTTTAACCATTTCTGGGTCAGGGTGTTCCTTTAAGTTAGCTATTTAAATATAGCATCTGAACACGCACATTGCCTACCTTTCTGTCTGCTGACATGCATTAATATATCCTGGATTTTAGTGGGATTTTTCAAAGATAGCATCTTATTACTTTAACTGGTCTTAAATTAACCAACTCATTTACATCCATCACACTTTTTCTTTCTCATAAAAATAATAATCACCTATTGACAGACATGCCATTCCCAATTCATAAGAGAAAGCAAAGAGATGATGAGGTGGGGGGGGGAAGAGGTGAGAGACAAAATTCACAACAGTTGTATGCATGTGTGAATATCCTTGCCCATGGTGTCTCTGATTTATACCACTAACTTTAATCTACAGTAGAAATGCTTAAATGTACTGATTTTTTAAACTATTGGATTAATTGTTGTAGTTAGTCTGGGGAAAACCAGACTGCTTTAGGTTCTAACACTTGGACATAAAGGGTTTAAAATGTTCTACCTTCAATAAGCTGTTCAGATGTGGAGAATGGTGATGAAGGATTCTTTTATCTCAGTGCAAATAACAGGTGCTAAGAGATTATAATAGTATAGGGTCATGTTCAGAAGGAAGTGTAGGGTGTTCCTTCCTCGGGGATTCAGATTACAGGCAATGTGAACAAACGGCTCTTCCGTTCTATCTTTAGAATTCTGAAATTGGTCATTAATCTGTTTTAAAATGCAAAGGTATCCCCATAATACTTCAAAGAATAAACTGCAATAAAATAGGAGAGATGTCAGGAAGCATATGTGATTATGGCTGCTTATATAATAAATGCCTTTGTTCAATTCCCCCACCCCAATGATGATAATGTGAGTGCCACACTGTTTAGCAGTTTGCAGATTGACCTTGACGACTATAGAAATATTAATGGATTTCCCCTCCCTTTTTCTGTTAGCACCTCACAACACACACACACACACACACACAGAGAGAGAGAGAGAGAGAGAGAGAGAGAGAGAGAGAGAGAATATCTAGCACTGGAAAATTGAAGCTCCTGATACAGAGTGGCACCTAGTGGCACTAGGAATCATTTGCTGCTAAATTGCACAAACATTTTTTTAAAAAAATAGTATATTGTGCTTTGCATTGGAATACATTAGCTGTGCACAGAAAGCAAAGCTGTGTTTACTTAGAAAGGTTTGTCACAATGACTCAATTTCAGTAAGTGAACTTGATTAAGAGAGCAGCCATTGTTCTAGAGAGAAATGAACACTTGGCAACACATTACTCCACCCAGCCTCAAAAACGAGCTCACTTCTTAGAAAGATGCCATCTCTGTTCAACAGAGCATTTAAGCATATGGCTTCCTCAAATGCACTCCTCCTATCAACTGCCATGAGGCTCATTTCCGTCTGTGAGCGCCTTGGCAAACCTGGAGCTTGAGATTTTAGCCCTTTCCAAACTGACAAATACAATTAGGTTCAGAGTTTCACATTGGTTAGGCTGCATGTGTTCATTCCTCCCAGTGCCACACAGCTGCTTTTCCTGTGCTAATACTGTGGGAAATACATAGGACTTAGGGCTCCCCCTATATTATGTGAGCAGGTGATGGTGTAAGGGGCTTATTCATGGTGAGATTCTGTACACTGGAAACAGCTGCGGCTGGTGTGGTACGGTGGAGCTGCCCTAACACCACCAAAGCTGCAGCTTTCCTTGATGGGATGCCGCAGGGCAGGGCAGGGTGATGCCAAGTCATGGCTGCATGGATGAACTAGCAGAGCCATTCTGGTCTCCTGCCAGGGCATCAACACAGCCTTGACCTGGCTCTACCTTGCACCACCCAGGTAAGCTGCAGCATCACCAGTGTTGGGATGACAGCTCTGACCCAGCAAACTGGCTGCTACTGACTGGAACCACCTGGGCGAGGTCAACTGCATGGGCCTCTTTGCTTCCTCACCCAGATGATTCTGAAATACATATACTTGCCATTTCAGCATGATAGTTCACTGCAAAGCAGCTGTCATACTGCCTAACTTATTAAGTTAAAGTAAGTCATTAACTACAGGCAGGACTGCAGCTACTGCAATATGAAGCGTCTGTCATTTAACCTATGATGAAACTGAAGCTTACAACAGAAAAACAACAATCCTATATTTATATATATACTTTGCATCCTTGTTTGGTTCATACTTGCACACAGTATAATTTCATTAATGCATGAGTGAGAACATCAAGCACAACCACTGAAATTTATTTCAAAATAGATAGGAGCTATGCAAGAGCAAGTTCCTTCATTTCAGCGCATTTCAATAGGGCTTGTTTTGGAGAATTTATTGGTGCCTCATCATCCCCATCTAGACAAGTTGTTTACACACACACACACACACACACACACACACACACACACACACTGTATGGAATAACAGAAAACAAGGATCAGAAATAAAGGGAAAGCAGCCATCTAATGAATAAAGATTATTCCGTGGTACTAGAAGCTTGGATAAGTTACATTGCAGTATTTGGCAGAGCAATCCTTAGGGAGGAGCAGAATGATGGATCCATCATCAGCTCCAAAGCCCTCCAGCTTGCACTCGCCAGAGTGTAAGATTGTGGTGGTTTTTCCTATAATTCCAAGCTTGTATAGCAGAGAGGTCCCAAACACAGGGATCCATTGGTTTTGGATCCAGTGCGTTCAAAACTACAACACCCTGCTCCACCACACCCAGTGCCAGGGCTTTCCCATTGGCTACAGCTAGAAGTAGTTTTCCATCTGACTAAATGAAACAAGGACATCTCCCCCCCCCATGGTGGAGCTCCCCCCTCTCCAGTAAAAACCCACCTGGTGGCACTTGTCTCCACCTATGCAGGCTGGAAGAGAGCTAAATACATGCAATCCTACCCCCATCAACATTGGTGAATGTGGGTATGATTGTTCTCTAAATACATTGTAGAAGTCTCTTTTTGTTTCATTTGAAAGTAGCAGGTTTAACTAACAGATGTTGCGGCTATTATTGCATGATTAGCGGTGAGGAAGAAGAAAAAGTGTCAGAAAGAAACAGATGTTTCAGGATAGAGTTCCCTTCTCAATCGAAACCCCCTTTTCCTGATGCTTACTGTTAAAATAGTCGGGGTCACAAAAGCCCAACAGACTCTCCAGAATTTGCTTGGCTGGAATCCAATCATCATCTCAATGTCTTCACAAAATCTTTGCAAGCCTGTAAAACAAACAAATGTAAATCCAAAATGCAAAAGAGACTAGGCTGCAGCTTACAAAATAGCTATTGTGATCTCCCTTGTGTCTAATTATGGGAACAGACACTCTGACTTGTCAGCCCAACTCTTCAAGAGGCATTCTAACCATATGGTATAATGTGGGTTATTATATGGATAGCCATCCTAATAAATTATTTACACTCACAAAATTGGTACTGTAATAAATATTAAACATACTTCTGGCTTTTCCTCCCATATTTTGAAACACAAAAGATAAAGCCTATGCCATTTTACTTGCTACAGTTCTGCAGGATCATATATTTATTTTTCTCATTTTCTCCCTAAAGAAAATGTGGTGTTCCTTGTTGTGGCAATGAAGATTCATGAAAACTTAATTGAAATGAATGGAAATTACACACAACAGCAATGTTTGTGGAATTGCTCCCTTGAAAGCAAACTTTTAAAAAACACAATCATTCCTCCTCCCAGTCCCTGAAAACACATAGCTCTATTAGTCAGGCTGGTAATGATTCTACTGTAACTGGTGAAATCAGAATAATTGTTGTGTCCAGGTTTTGTTTGTTGTTCTTGGTTGTTAACATCCCCTCTATAGACAAATAGGTGGGGTAGAAGCTGGGAGAAAGGCTTCTAAAACAAAGTTCAGGGTGCGCAAGATAATATTTTATGTATTTATTTAACACAATGCAAATTCTATCAAAGTTCCTGCTCTGGATGGGGTTACAGTGCTCCTGAAGGTGCAGGTTTGTAGCTTGGAGGTACTCCTGGATCCTTTGCTGTCGCTTGAGGCTCAGATCGCCTCAGTGGCCCTAAGTGTCTTTCATCAGCTTCAGCTGGTGGCTCAGCTACTCCCGTATCTGGACAGGGATAGCCTAACCACTGTCGTCTATGCTCTGGTAACCTCAAGGTTAGATTACTGCAATGTGTTATACGTAGGGCTGCCTTTGAAGACGGTTCAGAAACTTCAGCCGGTGCAGAATTCAGTGGCCAGGTTGATCACCGGAGCAAGACGGTTTGAGCAAATTACATCAATCCTGGTCCGACTGCACTGGCTACCGATTAGTTTTCAGGCCCAATTCAAAGCGCTGGCTTTGACCTATAAAGCCATAAATAGCTCAGGACCAGAATACCTCAAGGACCACCTCTTCCCATATGAACCTACCTGGACCCTGAGGTAATCTTCTGAGGCCCTTCTTTGTGAGCCTCCTCCTTGAAAGGTCAGGAGGGTGGCAACATGAGAATGGGCCTTCTCTGCAGTGGCTCCCTGTCTGTGGAATGTTCTTCCCAGGGAAGTTCGCCTGGTGCCTTCACTATACACCTTTAGACGCCAGGCAAAAACGTTCATTTTTAACCAGGCCATTGCCTGACTTGATCTACATCCTATACCCTTTTTAAAATGCTGGCTCTTGGGGGGGGGGGTTATTGAGTTGTTGTTGTTGTTGTTGTTGTTGTTGTTGTTGTTGTTTTGATTTTATGTATTTGATATTTTATGTGAACCGCCCTGAGACCCTTGGGTATAGGGAGGTATAGAAATTAAAAAATGAATGAATGAATGAATGAATATTGTTGCATGTCCCCCTGATCTCCAAACGGTGTGAGATTCCTTTTGGGATGAGGCATAGTGATGTCTTCACAGGAGCCAATTCCTAGGGGCCAAGGACACATCAACCCCCCCCATAAAATGTTTGCCCCCCCATTGGTACACATTGCCATTCAAATAATGTGCATGCGTCATCACATCTTGTGATCGATTATGCAGGGCGGGGTTTACCTGCCCCACCCCCCAAAAAAATTCATTCAAATTGGCACCCCGGGTGGCTTTATGATATATGGTTTACAAATGTATACACACTGAGCCTATGGTGGAGGCATTCACAGCATTAACACCCCAAAAGGGTCTTTTTTCTCCCATAGTTGCAGCCCTGAATTCAAACAGAAATCAAGTAATCCTCTGCTTCTCTTTCTCTCTCTCTCTCTCTCTCTCTCTCTCTCTCTCTCTGGATTGCTGCTTTTCTTCTTACCCACATCCCTGCAAATTCTGGCTTTGCCCTTCTAACTATCCACAAGTTGTGGGATTTATCATCTTACACAGAGCCCCTTTCCTTTGATGCCTATAATGGCCCATCACCCAGGCGAACACCTCATCAGGAAGTTAGCCTGGCTTATATTTTAACACTTGCTGGATCCAGGGGTTAGAAGGAACTCTAGGCATAGTCTACTTCCTCCCTCCCCTCCCAAAAAACTCCTTGTAACACTATCTTGGAAATAACATATTGACTTCACTATTAAAAAGTGGGTGTCAAGGACTGAAATTTAGTTGAATATTAACTAAAATGCCAACAAAAATTACTAGATAAAACACCAACAACAAATTCATCCAGAAAAATATTCCCCAGTATCAATAGAACTGTTTCCCTTGACGTCAGTAATAAAGTCAGGACTGTAATTCTCACATTATTTCAGTCCATTGCCTCTTTTGTTTGCTATGCCTTCACAAGATTGCCACATTATCTAGTTTGTTGCACCAGTTCTATGCACACAGCAGGTGCCTTCTGTCTTAATAAAAAGGGACTAATATTGATTTGGTGCAGCTTTCTTTTCAAACGTGCAATACAGCAGTGCAGCACCATTTTGCACCAATTAACAATTGGACAGCGTGATTCCCCGCTCCCTGACTTTTCATAGCTATTCCTCACACTGCTATTCCTTACTACTGCCTGGTAACAGATTTGTCTCATAAAACCCCCCACAAAACATTGAAAAACTGCCACTGTCATGAAATATTCACTCGTTAAGGAACCCCCACTCTCCCACCTTGAAACAAAATGAAATGTGTGACTTCTCTGTTTTGGTGTTTAGGTCCCCTCCAAGTAAAAACAGAACACAAGGCTTTAGCTAGTCACACTGAATATAGTGGGATTTACTTCTGCATAACACCGAACTAGCAGGTTTCAATCCAAGAACTCAGTAGGGCTTTCTTTTGATTAGAAATGTATAGGATTGTACCATTCTATCCAGGCATTCTGTTCCTTCATAAGATAGGAGGGGGGCAGGGATGAACATGCTAGCTTCACACACACACACACACACACACACACACACACCCCATCCCCATCACCTTCCATGCATTGGAGAGATAACCTTTGAAGCAAGGAGCATTTTCCACCCTGTAGGAACCCCAGATTTTTTTGGGGGGGTTATAAATTCTGGGCAGAACAGACTCCCTGCTGCAGGTATATGCTCTGAATTCAAGGAGGGTGGTGAGAACAGCAGTAAGAGGCTGAGCTAGCATATTTCTCTCGTCTCCCCTTTTCTATTCTAATCACAAGAAGGAATAGAATGTCCAAAGAGAGATAGAATCACTTGTGAAACACCTTTAGACATTGCCACAAAGGACATATAAAATGGATGAGAATATGTCATTTCCAATTTCCAGTAGGAGATCAAAATTCCACTTTGGGAACAAGCCATTGTGACCAATTCCATTTCCAACACTGGATTTTTTAGGGCCATATCTAAATATCTAAACGTGTCATTCCCCATCTTGGCTTCCTAGAACGCTTTGTTTTCCTTCTCAGCATGGGAAAGAGTACAAGTCCACAAAAAAAGGGAAGGCCAAAAGTAGGAGGTGAAGAAATCAGTCTCCTTCCATCCATGGAGTTGGAAGGATGGCAACGATTGGCATTTTTGTGGGAGCAATTATGTGACTGGCTTACAAACAGCACTACACAATATGAGTGTTGGTTAATTGCAGATAAACAATAGACATAGGAACAGGGAGTATTTGTGAGGAATGACTTTGTGAGGAATGACTTTGGTAGACAGGATCCATCTTGTCTATACTGAACTGCCTTGGCATGCAACGGTTCATAATTTAAACTAAATAAAAGTACAAAATACAGATATAAGAGCAGAAATGAGCAACAGCACAATTTTACTTCTCTCTCCTGAGGCTAATCTTGCAGAAAGAAACTAACTGAGCATTCATTGTGTCCTTAAGGAAGAATAAAAATAAAGATAGTTTTGATTATTCTGGCAAGGGTGCAGAGAGAAGTGGATGAAAGCAATTTAGTTTAAAAATGATTCTTTTTTCCCACTGGCTTATAGTTCTTTGTGCATTGCCTTGCATTTCACAATAAAGTAAATGAGGATTATGCATGCGATTTATGACATGCAGTGTGAAGCCCTAATAGCGCCTTACTAATCATTCACTCTTAATCTGAGAAAATGGCAAATTAATGTTTTTTGTGTATGCATGTGGAATGCTTGCCAGTTTGGGGTAGGATTACAATACAGAACTAATGAAACAATCCTTAGAAAAGGTCCCCCCCCCTCTTTTCTAATTTAAAAACTGGAGAGCTCAGTGAACAGAACATGTAACTAGAACTAAATACCCAAAGACAACCTGCTTATTGTTATTATTTTAAAAATAGTAAATACACAGAGAAATATGTTACTCAAGTGGTAAACTGGTGATTGAGTTAAGAGACATAACACATCAAGCTGAAAGCGTATTTGAAGAGAAAAAGAGAAATGGTACTGCAAGTTTAGGTAGCACCTCTGAAGGCTACAATCTTAACTGCATTTTCCTGGGAGTGAACCTCACTGAATCCAGTAGAAGCTACTCCTGAGTAGACATGGCTCAGAATGCACTGTTAAGGATGCTTATACCAGTTGCTCTAAGAATGCCTTTTACCCTGGAATGTATCACTTTCAGAAGTTGTTTATGCACTATTAAAAAGAGAAGAGAAGCAAGCTGGTGAAAAATTGATTTTCAGCTAAGCAATGTGGGAGATTTAAAACGACAACAAAACATCCTTTGTGACCTGTACAAGAACGCTTAGCCACCCCCCCCCAAGTAAATTCAGAAGAAATGTATTAGTACCATACTACATTTTGGTGTTTTTGTTTTGATTTATATTCCACCTTGCTTCAGTTGTGGAATCCAAGGTGGCATAATTGTGGTTTCCAGGAGGTCTCCTGT